CCCCCCGCCCCACAACTTGATTTTGGGTTAGCGGGGTCAAGATCTCTGTTTTCAAATCTAACTACATATTTCTGCGCGTCCTTTTCTTCTGCCAGCTGTCACACGTAGACGCATTCTGTATTTGCTTGTCTAATCAATTTACAATATCTCTTCAATTTTTTCTGTACACGCAGCCTTAATTTATGTTGCTTGGGTCTTACTCTTTTGCCATTTTGTTTGGTTCCTATTAACCTTAATGAACCACAATATCCATCTTCTGGACAAGTGCTAATTGTTACTGGAACGCGATCTGCCTGAAATTTTGTGGTTCCTCTGAGTTTGTTTGCAGTTGTTTGTCACCTTGTAATTGAACTTCTAATATATTTGCACCTTTAATTTAAAATCCTATTTATGGTGTTATGTTGATGATTTGGCAATTATTTCTGTTGTTTTCATATTTTACTCAGGATGTGTGGACTGAACTTGGGCGCCCTGGTGGAATTCATCAAAAACAGGTATCACCTTCTTTCTCTTCATTTACAAGCTTTTGAAAAATTTATTGGGGATGCTATCTGTCAGTATTGTGTCCATGGGGTTCTGGTTGTTGAACTGTGATGGATTGACCTTGTGAGTTGCACAGGTGGACCAAATGGGAATTCATTCTGCATCAGATCCTCGGCCACGAACCACTCTCTGTGGTGATTACTTCTATAATTACTTCAGCCGTGGCTTGGACATATTATTCGATGGGCAGGTATCCAGTTTTTTCCTTTATCAAATTCACCACTATCTGCATTAGTTTGTTAGTTTGAGTTTTCATGTTGTGCTGAATTTACAGACACATAAAATCAAGAAATTTGTTCTGCACACGAACTATCCTGGACATGCGGATTTTAATTCATACATGAAGTGCAACTTCATAATATACTGCTCTAACTGTAAGTTCTTTTCCATCTTTAACCGTTTGTGGCTGTCTAGGAATTTTTTGCTTATGGTGGCAAGTTTCTTAATTGAAATTCCTGCAGTTGGTGGGTCGTTTCATAATGATGTGAATGGCTCTAAAAACGCCATTACTTCTAGCACAAAATGGGAGCAAGTTAAGGTGATATATTCTTATACATTTTGATTTCATATTTTGATTAACCCAGCTACCAATTTCTAGTTAGTTAAAACAAATTTTTACAGTGTGGGTATGAATGTTTTGTTCTCTAATTATGGATTACTGAAGCAAAATATTTTTGCTATTGTTTCCTTCATGTTTTTCCTACTACAAATACTCTGAATTGCATGGCATCTTTGACTTCTTGATTTTGAGTGAGATACTAAGCTGTAGGTGTTACACTGCTATTGGTGTCTGTCCAGCTTTAGTCAGCTTGCCTTATTTCTTGTCAATATTTTGTTTTAAAAGGAGTTATGGATATCATACTATGCAGGAGATTCTTGGGGATTGTGGTCGAGCTGCTATCCAAACTCATGGCTCTACAAGCAATCCTTTCGGATCTACTTTTGTATACGGTTACCCAAATGTTGCCTTTGAGGTGCATAAATATTGAATTTTAATTTTTTTTAATTCCATTTTTGGTCATCAAAGAAACTCATCTGGTCCCATATGCTCATTTTTTGCTTTTCATAATTATAAGCTCATTTCTGATGTCTACAGGTCATGAAGAATGGTTACATTGCAACTGTAACTCTGTTCCAGTCATGATGTTTTATAGTTGGTAACCAGGGTATATCCCTTCCTCCAATTCAATGTTTCTTTAGTATTCTAATAAAATTCCTTGTTGCTATCTTTCACTGTTTCAATTGAATTAAATCATGAAATAAATGCTGCCCTTGAAAAAGGCCTAGATTTTGGCATTCCTTGTGGTATTAATTGCACTGGAAAGTATGGCACTTTGCCATCACTACATTTTGACACTTAATAGGTGAATTGAAATACAATGTCTTTGAGGTAAAGATGTGTTTCTAATGACCTACTCGTATACCCTCTTCCAGATGGTGAATGGTAACTTCAAGGGTCGTACTTCAATGAGATGATTAAGTTCCTCTGCACTATAAACAGTTCTCTACGTTTTGTTACGAAGGCTGTTTCTTGTTATTTTCATGATTCCATTGTAAGGGCGGTGTTTATTATTCTAAAAACAATAAACATGGGATGATCTAAATAAGCCTTTTTTTGGCTGGAGTGGGCTGTTTGTGTATAGGCACTGGTAGTTGAATGAACATTCTTGTCACGACTTCATGATAGGAAGTGTTCCTGTATGTTTACCGTTACGATTGTAAAGTTGTGTATAATTTTCGAAAATGTGATTATGTACAGTAAAACTGATACGGCATGCTGTGGTTTGAAATGCCATCTTTGCTTTCTTTGATTGTTAGGCTCTTTTCACATTGACCTTTAGCCAGTGCGTTATATGAACAAAGCGTGCATTTGAAATTAGTCAAACTAAAATTGTAGAACTTGGACTTTTAACCTTGCACCTGTGAAAGTCAGGATGATGGGGATTCATTCTTTGAATGAATTAGTAGGCATTTGATAGGAGGACCCAAGACAGCATGGTTGAGCTTGGTTTGTAAACTTGATACTTAAATTTTGAAGGGAATACCAATGGAAATCTTAAAATGGAATCATTGGTTCCATATCTAACTATAGAATTGAACAAGAACCAAAATTATCAGATTCCAATTTGGTTCTTTATATTTAGGGCCTGTTTGAGATCCATTAAATTGAAAAAAATGCATTTTGAAATAGTATATTATTATTAATAATGGGGAGTGTGTGGTTAAAATAAGATAAAGTTTTGAATTAGCGTTTAATAGTATTATATGAAAAAATGTGTTTTTGTAAAGAAAGAAAGAAAAAAATATATTTTGAGAAAAATGAAAATTAAACAAGCTCTTAATAACAAGAAAAATAAAATATGAAACTACTTAGTACATTGAAAATAAATAAAGATAGAGTACAAAACCAGTTATCATTCTTGTAATTTAATAATTAAAAAGTCAATTAAGCAAAGAATTCACTCCCAAAATTCAAGATTAACTCGTAAATGCAAAAAGAGCAAAAACTATTAAACACGACATTAACAATAAAATCTGGATTGAAAATTGATTCTTAAGAAAACTCATATATCAATACATATTAAAATGACTAGTATTTATAAGCTGATTATTTTTAGTATTTAATGATCTTGATTCTTGATGACCGATCACTTTGAAAACAACAAAAATTTTGAGTTCTTAGTAAATACTGAGCTGAAAATATATTTTTCCTATTTCCTTTTCTACAAAGGAAAGAAGAAGTGTGTGAAAAATGAAATTTTGATATGAGATAATTTTTTAGTCTAATTTTCAAAGATTCAGTGCATTTTGATGCAATGCACCTGCAAAAAATAGAATATATGAGATAACCAAATTCACTATTGATTTTTGAGGTAGTTATCGAGAACCAGATTAGAGCCAATGGGTTCTCGATCTATAATCTAAAAAATGACTCATTCAATAAAGAAATCGGAGCTGAACCAAGTAATTTGATCTTGTTCTGATCTAATTCTGATAAAAAAATGTCATATCCTACTCAAAATGTTTCTATTGATGGTCAAGTACGATGTTAGAAATTAAGCCAATTGTTATTAAAATTATTCTACTCGTCCAGGGCCACATGGGCCTTCCTAGGCGGACCTACAGAGGGCGCCAAATCATCCAAAGCCCATGTGGCCTTAGGCGAATAGCATGGTTGTTGTTATGAATATTAGAGATGAAATAATTGAGAAGATGAAAATAATATTGAATCAAACCCATCAAGAAAAATCATTTTTGCCTCTCCTTCGATTTATGTTGGAAACGTTTTGCCCCTTTGGTAAATGTTAAATGAGATCGAGAGCAAATTCTGCAAGAAGGTAACTCGTAAAAACTTAGGTAAAATGTGACGAACAATAATTGATGGTATGCAGCAAAAGAGTTACGCTATTTGGACAGGGTTGGTGATAGGTGCTATATTGGTAACACCTATATAGCTCCTTTTTTTTCGAACCATCCAATGATATGTTGACACGTGTTTTCATATTTTTAAATCCTGTCATCAATACTATTTGTGTAGCATAACTCGAACAAAAAACATAATGAAACAAGGAAACGAATAGTTTAATGAACTATGTTGGGAATATAACTTTCTTGCAAATTTAAAGAATTAAATTCTGCCAGTGCCAATTATGTGGACTGATTCTGAATTGCTAGGAAAAACATTAATTTGCTATCATATACTACAGGAAATTACGCACAAGAAATTACGCCCGGTTCTCAATAATCATGGGATCGGTTCTTTATTTTTCCATCATGGAAAAATTTAAGCTCCTGGTTGGGCTTCATTTTATTCAAAAATTTATTTTTCTTTCTTTTCTTTCCAATAATACGTTATACAATAAAAAATTATTATACGTAAATTAAAATTTTTTCATTCTTTTTTAACTACACATTCTTCAAAAAAATCACTATTTCATTTTATGTTTTCCCTAAAATCTGATCTTATTGGGCCCAAACAAATATTAAGACTTCATATAATTTTGTAAATCCCTTTTCCAAAATATTTGAATTTTAGCCTATTTGGTGGCAATTTTCATCCAATTTTTATTGAATTATTGGACTGTCAGTAGCCGCAATTGTTTACTTCCTTCTTGCGACAAGGCAGATGTGGGACCCACTAATGGTGAAAAAATGAATTTTAATTTTGCAAGTGAGGGAGCCGAACAGGCGCTAAATTAGCTTCTAAGAATATTTTCAAGAGACACTTCAAATATAAAATCATTTTCTATTTTAAAAAAGTCAACTCTTAAAATTATGCTATAATAAACTCTTCAAATTACATTTTATGTAAGAGAGTCAAATTTACTTTCTATAATTATATACATTCAAAATATTTCAATTTTCAATGGACAAAAATAAAATAATAATTTGAAGGAAAGCTAGTAAAGATAAAAGGTAGAGAAAAAACAATAAATAGAGAATCTCTTAGAGATATTTAGAAATTGTTAAAATATTGGATCAACTTTTATCATTCATGGTATACTTCTACTTATTTAATTTTAGGTTCTAAAGCTTAATTTTCACAATATTCTAAGATGATAAAAATTGTTAGAAGACGTTATTTCAGCAATTTTGAAAATCTTCACCAAAATTGAGATCTTTTATAAGATTAGAAATGCTCAGATTTTCCAAAGCGTACAATTTCATTTTGCGAGTTCGGGGCCAAATTTTGGACGACTATTATCATTTTTGTAATAATTTTCTCTTTTCATTTTCAATTATTTTTGTGCTTAGTTTTCCATTTTTCTAAAGCCCTCGGGCTTGGCCAAGGGCATATTTCATTATTTCTACTTTGAGCCTGTTTGAGAGTGATTTTGAGAATTGATTTTTTTAACCGTTAGGAGAAAAGTGGGGTCCACCTGTGAGAAAAAAAGTCAATTATGACGACTGAAATAGTGAAATAACGATCAAAAAAATCAATTTTTTGGGTAAAAAAATCACTCCCAAACAGGCTATTTGTTATGCTAAATTTTTTAAAATAGTGAGGTATTCTATTGAAGTCGATTTTTGTTTTGGGTGAAAATAGATTATTGTTGGTTTGGTTTAAAGGCACTGATTTATTATCCAAAATTTCACTATTTCAAATTATTTTCATTTAATAATGATAGATAACATACGCGTGTTCATCTATCATTGGCTTTTGCCAGTCAAGATTGAAGAAGTTATGGCACTCCCTCTTTCCTCAGATCATTTTCCTTCTCGAAATCGTTGACCTTTGTAGTTGGAAAGTTATTCTGGCTCAATCTCTCCGGTGTTTGCAACGCCCCAAAACAAGGTCAAGCTGGTGGGAAGTGGACGAACCTGGCTGGTATAGTGGCGCCCAATTTCGAAAGGGCTTACTCGTGCTGTAGGAGCATCCCACTTAGTGATATATCCGTTAGATCAAGCATCTCATGATGGAGATGACTTTGGGTGTGAATCACCAGAGAATCAAAACGAATGGTATATGGATTCACGTAGCTGAAAAAGGGACTGGACCGCTTGTTTTGCTACTTCATGGCTTCCCAGAAATCTGGTATGCTTGGCGCCATCAGATTACCTTCTTGGCCAATCATGGCTACCATGTGGTTGCACCTGACTTGAGAGGATATGGAGACTCTGATTCACCTCTCCTCCCCTCTTCTTACACTTTCTTCCACGTAGTTGGCGATCTAATTGGCCTACTCGATCACTTTGGCGTGCAACAGGTTTCTCTCTCCCTCTCCCTCTCCCTCTCCCTCTCCCCCCCGCCCCCCCAGCCTCTCTTCTCAATCTCTAGCTCCATACCGTCTTCTATCTTCGTCCTTGTTTTTGTATCAATGTTTATTCGACTGTGGGCTATGTTATGTGTAACGTATAGGCCTTCGTGGTGGGAATCGACTGGGGAGCACTGGCTGCTTGGTACCTCAGCCTGTTGAGGCCAGATAGAGTTAAGGCGGTCATAGCTCTTACCGTTCCAATTTCACCCAGATCTCCAAATGTCAAATACCTCGAATCCTTTGAGCAAATGTTTGGAAATGATTTCTACATTTGTCAATTTCAGGTACTCTGTTCCCCATCTCTCTGTTTTTCATTGGACTATTGCTAATGAAATTATGTACTGGTTTGGGTTGGAGTAGGAACCAGGGAGAGCAGAAAGGTCATTCTCGAGGTACGATTATCTCACGGTGATGAAGAAGTTCCTTCTCTTGACGCAGACTGATCTTTTAATAGCACCACCTGGAATGGAGATAATTGACTATTTAAGAACCCCTTCATTCTTGCCATCCTGGATTACGGAAGAAGAACTACAAGTATTTGCGGACAAGTTCCAGGAGACTGGATTTACGGGAGCTTTGAACTACTATCGAGCTATGGACCTGTAAGTGCGCTTCATCACACTTTAAAAAAAAAAAAAAAAAACTCTGGAATTCAATTGGATTTCGTTACACTCAGTGTCTGTCGTTTATAGATATACCATTTTTGATCTCCTTGGCAATGGATACCTTCTTTCCTCGAACACTTCTCTAGCTGCTTCATTGGCAAGTCACTAGAACTTAGATCACCCAAAGGCTTCCTTCCTCATCCAGGGCTCACGATCTGATATTAGATTCCCCTTGAATACGCGGAACATATTAACTATCCACGTATTCTTAGGCTTTGTCAACCTTCTATGGCTTGCCGCTCTCCCATCTCATTAGGGACGTGAAAGCTCTGGAAAAGTTATTACTGCTACATCAGAATTGTACTTTGCACAAAACTGAAATTCAAAAGATACTAACATGTACTCACTTGCTGGCCGTTTTGTTCAATTAATGACAGCAACTGGGAGCTTCTAGCACCATGGGAAGGGTCAAAGATAACAGTTCCGGCTAAACTAATAATTGGCGACAAGGATATCGGATTTGATTCAGGGGGAAGAAGGGAATATATAGAGGGGAATATATTCAAGAATTTAGTTCCCAACCATGAAGTTGTCATCATTGATGGCCATCACTTCATACAACAAGAGAAACCTCAACAAGTTTCGGATGAAATTTTATCCTTCCTCAAAAAACACTGTTAAGTCATTGCTGTACTTCAAGAATACAACTGCACAGGAACTGCAGGCCGATGAGACTGAGAACAGACACACACACATATATACACCTTCATTGTTAATGTGATGTAACTTTTTCTTGCATTTGGATTTTATTATGAATATTGAAATGTGTTTCATACTGCTATTCAATGTCACATAGAGTAGTACAAGTAGCGCCAAGAATTTACTCAAGCTTTTTCATGGTTCGTTCGGGCATCAATATGCCATTTGCCACTCCATAAAAATCTGACATAAAACGACCCCCTGCCTGGCACTGTTCGATTCTCTAAACATTTTCTTGCCTCGATTTGATATCCTATCGCAGCCTGATGCTGAAGGAATTGTACATTATCTAGGGATATTCCTTTTACCTGAGAACCAGCAGCTGCTCGATCCTTTGAGCAAATGAACTAATATTGCTCCAACCATTTATTAATTATCTCTTAACTTATGGTTGATGCGAATTACTCAATAATAATTACCTAGCTAAGGTTTGATAAATTATTTTGCATATTGTTGCATTGTGCTTTGCTCTTGTAAATGTATGATTTAAGCACTTGTGGTTGCCTTGCACAAATCATGCCTTCTGTAACACGGTACAAGTGTTCATACCTCTACAATGATTGTTATGGTCATACCTAGCCCCATTTGGTAAGGATTAAAATGTAAATTTTAATTTAAGTTAAACTCAATAGATAATTTTAATTATATATTTTACGGGATCTACAACTTTTCAACCACATATTTCACCAACATTTGTCAAAATCTACCCCCCCCCCCCCC